AACCTACTAAAAATTACTAGAACATTCGCCAAAGTACATGATAGTTCTAGAAACGTTGCGTCACAGTAGTCATGTGACTCGATGACGCAACACTTGTATAGATTTCTAGTTAGGCCTTAATTTAAGGTCCTTAAAACAAGGGTAAGAGGAGATCTGATTGAAATGTTCAAAATTATAAATGTAGTAGATAGCATTGAGGCATCATCTTGTTTTGTGTCTAATGGTAATAATAGTATGACTAGGAGCTAAGGGACATAAATTTAAGACACAGCAGAGAACAAGGTGTTTGTAAATTAGGCATTTTCATTTTTCAAACTATATCAAGAAATATCCTTAATTTTTTCTATCATGCTCTATGGTTTGTTCCCATCTATATTAGATGTGGGATAGAAATTATGACATGACATTTCATAGACAACAAGGAACCCCTTGGCCCACATTGTTGTTTAAATGAATGGGACAGCTGTTTAGCCTATATCCAGCACTGACTCTCCAAGTATACACTAAGCCCTCTCTTGAATTATTCCAATTCTGTTGCATCTATTATGTCTACATGCAATCTAAATAAAATTTCCACAGGCTGTTTGCCATGTAGTCCATAGGTTATGTTTTTGAAGTTTATAAGATTATCTAAGGAACTGATAGGATAAATGTATCTAATTCATTTGTGCTTTATTTTGAATATACTAGAATGAGAGAACACAAGTTTGTGATTTCGAAAAAACAGGCTAGGCTTCAAATAAAAGTTTTATTTTTCTAACAGGGTGATTGGTTTCTGGAATGAGATGCTACCGGTAATATTGGAGACCAATACTTTACAAAAGTTTGAAATGAGAAACGATAATTTCCTGAAAAATAAAGAATGGATTTAACTTTTTTTACTTTTCCTCATTTGCAGCTAGGTGTGCATAAACAGTCTTAAACAACATGAAGTACCAAGTGGTCACTTGTTTCGCAATTATGTTAAGTATGATATTTAGTTTTATAAATATTAACTTAAGCTCCAAACCTTCGTTTTGACCTAATTATCCTATTAATAATTGTATTCCAAATTTCCCAAACACACCATGCAGCAAAGTATACTGTTACGCCTCCGTTCGTTAGTTAATTTTCCGTAAAAATTATTTTCGAAGAAACTTTACCGATACAAGTCCTTTCTTAAATACAACTGGTTTATTCTTTCTGAATACAACTTTGTGATACACTTAATTTCAACAGTCGCGCTATAACAAACGCTATAATTCACAACAAACGTCTCACGTGCGCAACTCAACAATTCTCTGTCCGCAGTTCAATTACACATTGTTCCCGTCGCTTCTTGGCCGGTATTATATATACAAGACTACTCCATATCTAGTAGTCTCCCGACGCTTCATGAACGTTCTAGAAGCGCGTGGCGTGTTACTAGCGTCACGTGACCTCCGCTGTCGTAACAATGCCTTATGCTCAGGGGCGGTACATATAAGAGGTATGGGAGGCTTTGTCTCCCCAGATAGACTGTCCGTCATGAGGCATTATTCTAACCAACTCAAAAATATTATACAATATATATGGAGAGAGAGAGATCGAAAATAGGTGCATGAGTCACTGAGGAGCGTTTATCTATTTGTGAGCCGAACTGATTCTTCCCAATTGAGCAACGTACCCCCCACACCAGTTTTGTCAAGCCTCGATCGCAAGAAAAATAAACAGCACTGCCTTTCAAAATAAACCCAAAACAAACAGTACTGACTTTCAAAACTGCTCTTTGATAGCTTACCCTCAAAATTTAATTGGAATAAAGATCAGAGAATGCGTTAAGTGGGCTGACCAGAAAGTTCACGACTGTGAGTGCGTTTTATAATTGAACAAGAGTAAGAATACCCCCCCCCCCCCTCCAGTGGCACAGCGATATGTCTGCGGAATTACAATGCTAGGAACCGGGTTTCGATACCCGTGGTGGGCAGAGCACAGATATCCCATTGTGTAGCTTTGTGCTTAATTCCAAACAAACAAACAATTATAAATATAGTCTGCATTGTACACTTTCACAAATGTCACTACTTTAAAATTGAATTTGCTAAAATTTAGATTATTTGCAGCTCTGTAATTATTGTTTCTAGCACCTAGAGCCAGTACTCGCTGCCAAACAGACGTCATTATTTGTATCTGTTCTCTGGTGTTTTAAAACTATACATTTTTTTTATATTCGTAATGATAATAATACACACTATCTATTTATAACCAAGCGGATCTTGTTGTATTATAGGTGACGCTAACAGAGTCTAAAGCTTAAATGAGCTTTGGGGGAGGAAAAAAACAACGTCAAATATTCACCCTGTGAGGCTGTGATTGGTTGTTGGATGCTGAGTGAATGAGGAATCATGTTCAGAGTCATTACTACCACTTAGTAGTAGTATTCTGTACGAGTTCAATCATTGTAGTTTTTGTAACTTGTTAGATGCAGAGTTTAGAAAATGTGTATGTGATTATTGTGTGAATTTGGAAATTACACAAATCTAGTGAAGTTTACTAAAACTTTCAATACAAGTTACATTAACACTAACAGGTGTTTTGTATTAAGTATAAGGCTTTAGTATGCTTTAGAGTTTAGTTAGACTTTTATACCACTTAAGCAAGGAGGCTACGAGTATACGGATGTGTCAGAAAGTTCAATAGTTTCGAAACTCCATGACAGCTATTGATAATTCAGTTCTTTTTATTTGAATAAGTAGTACCCTAATTCTGTATAACATATATATATTTATCTTTTTAAGAACCTTTAACTTTTATTTCGCCCAAGAGCATGCAAGCGATCAAATGTGTAGTCGTCGGAGATGGGTAAGTGTGTTAAAGTAACTGAATTTAAAAATAATCTATTCTTGTGCTTGGCTTATGTAATATTTATAATATTTGATGTACATTTTAGTTTTTAACTGCGTGGACCTAGAAGTAGAACTTTGTATGACTTATAAATGTAAGTGTTTTTTTGTTGTTGTTGTTTTTTCAATTACACTTTATTTTTGTATTTGCTCTTTCTTGGAAAAAAGTATGGGATAAAAGTAAATGTAGATTTTCAAAATAGTTTTTTTCTCTGTTCTTTGGAAAAGAAAAGAGTTCAGAATTTGTTGAGCAGCAAAATTTTATCATTTATAAAGCGCTATAATTTTAATAAAAGTTAATTATGTAATTATTTTTAAAAGAGAAAAAATTAAAATCTCAAATAACATACCAGAACACATAATATACTGACAACCTGACCAAAATCTGTATAACAGGTGTTGCAGTGGTTTCTTTTTTTTATTGTTCAATAAAATACTAAAAACAATGCAAAGCCTGGTATGCTTAATGATAAATTAAGTGTTATATTTTATGAACTTTAAGTTATAACAGTTAGCTGTACTAATGTTCATTGATAGGCCTAAGTTCACAGTGCTGCCAACACAGCAATTTCCCTTTCAAAATTCGTTATTAAAAAAACTGAATTAACTGCTTGATAATAACAAACAAACATGATACTGATAGCTCATCCATTGTAGTAACAGACTTGAAAATCACTGAATTTGGCAATCAGCTACTCTAGCCTTATTCACATTTTATTAAAGTTGGATGATAAACCTGTTTGATTGACACAATCAATTACCTGTGAGCCATGATTACATCAGATAATCATAATTATGGTTAAATCAATTGATGTTACTAAAATAAACTAATGAAAGTTAGAATTTTTTATTACTACTGTTTTTGATTATTCCAATTATCCAAGTCTCGTGTGAGAATAATCAATTACTTGAATGTAATTAATGAAAAGGCCCAGGAATTAAATGATTGGCAAATTCCACTAATTATCCAGCTTGATGTTTCATACTGGTTCAAACTGTTTTAGGAATTCTAAGAAGATTCTAGTCATTAAGCCATGACTGTCACTCATTATGAAAACTCCCACTGGCAAAAAAATATATACACATGTCTAAATTAAAAACTTTGCCTACAATAATAGCATATACACAGCATACAGTAAGGAACCATTTGGTTCTGTGAGGCTGTCCTTGCAAACTCACCCATGTGAAAAATAAAAATTGAATATATTTTATATTTTTTAGGAAATCATTAATTCATCTATTAAATCATTGTAATTTGAAGATTATGGCTTTCACTAATATCCATGGTAATTCATTCCATGAGCCAGTTACATTGTTGAATGAAGAAATTGGAGGCCTTTATCCTATCAATCCCCCAGATAATCCTCGATAGGTTACCTCATAAGATTTTTCTTCTATGAAATAATCTTTTCATCCCTGGAATCATCCCAGTAACATTTCTCTAAACCCTTTCCAGTAAGTTGGTATCCTTTCTTAGATAAGACAACCAAAATTTAACTATATTCCAAAAGAGGTTTAACTAGCAACTTGTACATGGAAATAATTCTCTTCTGTCTTTACCTACTTCCTAAAACTCAGTTAGCTTTATTGTTAGCAACAGAGGGTTGACTCAATTGCTTGAAATAGCTATCAATCACAATGCCAAGATCCTTTTTTTCAGTCATCTTATTAAGTTGTTTCCCATCTCTATTAAAATTTAAATGTGTAATCTAAATTATAATTCAAATTCATTATCTCATATTTACTATAATTTGTCCATTTTACGAATTGATACAGATCATTCTGTAGTACTTTAACATCTTTTGCTAGTTTACTAATTATGCCCCTATCTATGTCATTTATGTAAGATAAAGCAAACACCCAAGTTCTAATCCCTTAAGCACACTGTTAGTAACAAGTAACCATTGTGATTGAACTTCCCGAATAAAATTTCTTTCCTTCACCCAGTTATCCTTAAATCCAATTATTCTTTCCCCAACCCCACCAATGTGATTTTCTGTGTGGCACCTTCTAAAAAGCTTTTTGAAAATCTGTAGTACAAAGTGCTGACAAAATGTTTGAAAATAAATCTAATTATGCCAAGTTTGTGATGGTGACAAAGTTTAGTGTGTGGACTTTTTTTTGTGTGTGTGTTAACATTTGGTGTCAGTAAAACTTGAACATCTATGTTTCATTCACATTGTAGTTATAACTTGAGTATGTTTACTGTGTAGGTAAAATCAGAGGTGATTAATGATTAACTTTGTCCACATACATATGGCATGTAAGTGTTGGTTTAACAGATTATAAAGTAATTAAAATTATGACAAAGGATGTCATGTTAAAAGGTGTAAAAAACTAATCAAAGCCAATAGATGCCATAATTATGTCTAATTAAACTTGATTATCACTACACATAGGAAGCTACTATATCATTCCATGTTTGGTTATTGTGTATCTTCACACAAGCTGAGTTAAACAATTTTGACCAAAAACAACAGATGAATGTAAAAAATAAATTGTTTAATGTAATTATCAGAAATTTCTTAGCTTAATATCCATATAATTACATCATGGTAAAGCATAAATTAAACTTCTCCATTCCAGTCAAAGATTTCTAAACTGTGTGTCTTGTGTTTTCATTCAGTTATCATAGACAGCTTAGTCTGTGATAACTATGAAAACTCATTTGACTTTGACTTTCTTCAAGTGAACTTCTGTAGAAACCAGGTATATACTGGTGTAGTATCAATTATACTACAAATAGAAAATTTTCATAACTAACTGTCGTGTTATTTTGTATCACAGTTTACAATCTGTTATATTGAAAATGAATAGTTCATATATAAATAAAACAATGTGAGATGTTTTTATTAAGTAGTGCAATGTTAAATATGCATTTAGCTTTACACTGTCCATAAATCTCATGATCTTGTTCGTATGGGTATATACATATCACAAATTTATTGTTCAAAAGTTGTAGCTTGGTTTTAAAATTGGTAACATGATTCTAAGTTTGTCAGTTTTTTGGCTCCAACTTTTTATGAGCCAGAGCAGTATCTGCACACTTTTTCATACAGATAACAGGTAACATCCTCGCAATGTTAACAGACTAGTGAGGCAAGATATCCTGTTAGTGATTCTGTGTTGGCTTTATATATATATATATATATATTCCTCTTCAATCCTCAAACAATTTTTCACTGTCTTTAGCCTACCAAAAAGAGAAGCTTGCATATCTAATCTTTGACCTCCTTAAAAACCATGAGGAAAATCACTATTTGATTCTGTTGCATTATTTTTAATGCCTTAATCATTTTACTTAACATCATGGGTGTAATACCTATGTTTGCCACCGATGAAAAAAGGTCCACCGTTCAAAAGCACTTGGTTTATAGGGTTTTGTATTTTTGTCTTTAATTGATTTCTTGCATGTACATGTATTCCTAACATCACGAACGATTCAAGTCTAACGTTTCCCATCCACTTTTCAGAGTCAGTAATGTTTATAACATCCTCTTGTAAAAAACAGAAGAAAATGCTTAAAAATTTAATTATTTTATCTTGAATAAAAACTCTGCCTTCAGCATACTTTAAGGGCTCAGTTCCCATTTAACATTTTGCTTACCTTAAACGTACATTAAAAACATTTTTACTATTAGTTGTAATATTATCAGCCAGTTATATTTTCCCAATTGGAAATGTGCCTATAATTAATATGATTTTTTACTACAAGGCTAGTGCCATGTCTTTTTCTTAGTTTTCCATCAATTACATAAGCGTACAACTTACAAATTAATCTTTTGTAAAGCACCTTATCAAAGGCTTTTTGAAAGTCTATTCAATATCAATCCCTATGAAGACCTCCAAAAAGGGAGAGTCGATTGCAAAAATCATTGAAGATATTTCTAAGGCCATGAAATCCTTTTCTACAAGTATTATGAGAATTGATAGCTCTACAGTTTTGAATATCCACTCTAGACTCTTTCTTTATAAAAATAGGGATAAGTTTGGCAATCTTTGTGCCATATGAGAAATTTACTTGGTTTAAGGAGATTATTTTAAGCCAACTAACCCAACATAGCTCTTTGCTCAGCTTTTTCAAAGTTTTAGGAGAAATTTCTTCAGGATCAACCAGAAGTTTTTATTCTAAAGCTTTTCTAAAACAACTGTTTCTTCAACATGAATAAGAGAAATCCCTGTCCACTCTTAAAGAAACTAGTCTATCTTTGTTCTCTTCCTCACCTTCAATAGTTGCTTTGAGCTAAGAAAATTTCATAATCATTCTTAGCCTTAATGATACTTTTTAGATCTTGTTTTCTTATTTTTACATGTGTGCCATAGATGTACAAATTTCTTCTTCCCCAAGTTTTCAACAGAATTTTGTGCTTAATAAGCTAACCATTTTTCGTTTGATATAAATTTAAATCCTTTTTTCAACCATTTAGGAAAAGGCTTTCACTTGTAACATGAATATTTGGTGTGTGTCTATATATATAATTTTTTCTAAGCACCATTGAACCCTAAACTTCTTTAGCATTCTTCAAAATTAGCCACCCAATTTCTCTCTTAAAATATATTGCACTATTGGAAGTAGGTTTACTAAAACTTGGGACACATTTTTAATAATACAAATGGTTTCATTAAAAATATTAGAGATGATAATGCTTTCATGCCGTTGATTTTCCATCAACTAAATTTCTAAATCATATCATTCTTAGTACTAATAACTAGACCTAAAAATAACATCTTCCTTAAGTTGGGCATTTTCATACAGAGAAAATATCCTTGCAATTAAATTCTATTTGTATAAAAACATTAAGTAGATTTTTTTTAATACTGTTTCA